TACACTCACTTAATAAAAATTAAATGTTTGACCACAACTAACGTTGGACAGTTTGCCGAGGGGAATATATATTTAGGGGACCCTACGAGACGGTTTTGCCTTTAAATATTACACATTGGTCATATTAGCGATGGCCTAGTTATCAAAGTCAGTAAAGTCGTTGTTTATGAAATTTTTAAGGTACAGGACCTGTCGCCGTAGATGTAGTCCATATTAATTCCATAAAATATAACTTCTCTAGAAGATAAACATTTAGAAAAAAACCGGCAGCTCAGTTGTTCACACACCCAGAACCAGGCCAGCCTTGGGCTTTCTGTGGAAGTCCAGGCGCCTTTCGTTGGGAACGCAGGTTGCGGCCACATAGAAGCCAGCTTCACGACGTGTCAGATAGGCAGGGTCACGGACCTCTTGAAGAGCGAAGCTCAAGTTGCGCAGGGCGCAAACACAGTTCTCGAGAACTCTGGAGTCAAATTCTCCTGCGTGAGCGAGGCATTTGCAGAGATATATCAGGGCTGCCACCAGACCTGGTGTCTCCCTCAAGCGATGACGACAGTCGGCTGTCTCTGTAAGGACATTCCTGGTTAATGTAAGAAGAATACATAACTGTGATGTGTACGGGTTTGAGTTCAATCTTATCAGTGTTGATCAATGTTATCTTATTAATACTGATCTATTTTATTTTACCAGTTTTGATCAATGTTATCTTATCAATGTCGATTAATGTCATCTAGTCAATTTTGATCAGTGTTACCTTAACAATTTTAATCAAGGTCATTTTGTCAATGGTGATCAGTGTTATCATATCAGTGTGGATAAATGGTATCTTATCAGATTTGGTGGCGAAAGATTCAGTATGGTCACGCGGGACCCCGATCAAATAATCAAGTAAGCACCACGCGGAACATTTTATCATTAAACAGAAAGCAGCAAAATACATTTTTTTAAATGGAAGATTAGATGAAAACGCTCTGCATATAGGGTGTGCATTTATTATTTTTCCTATCGCTTCTGGCACCACCTGTACATTTACGACCTAGAGAAGACATGGTGTTTTCGCCTCAGTAGTTACGAGCAAGCTTCCGTTGTTCCTTCCTGTTATCACTGTTACCTTATCAATATTGATCAGTGTTATATTATCACTGTGAATCAGCGTTATCTTATCAAGGCTAAACAACCTTAGCTTATCAATTTTGGGCGGCTAAATATTCTGTATGGTCCCGCAGGACCCTGATCAAACAATGAGATAAACAGAAGACGCTCAGCAGCAACACGCGGACCATTTATCGTCCCATTAAAA